TCAATGTAATTAAGTAACATTAAAATTAAAGCTAAAAGCATACGATTAAATCGGAGTTTAGAGGTAAAATAAAGCGAAATAACGTTCAAAAAAAAACAGAAATAAAAAAAAGATAATCATTAAATTTTTTGTTCTAAATCGAACTAAACTTATTTGATTGATTTAAATAGTTATAAAATTTTATTGAAAATTATAGTGCTTGACGATTTTATGGGCGAGAATAGCACAGACGAGAACGGATATTTTTCTGTCGTTGGTAATATTACCTCTTATTCAACAATTGATCCAAAGTTAAACATTTATCACGAATGTGATCCGCTTGTGGTGAGTTAAAACACTGTTTTTTTTTTATCTGCTTAAACTATGACTTAATAGTGACCTTGACAAGGAAATCACCAAAAATAGTTGTTGTAGTTTCAAACAGATAGTGGCTTACAACACGTTGTTTGATAATGCATTTCTTTTTTACTTTATCTGCTACTTGAAGGCTTCATTTGTACAGCTAAATGCAGAAGCACTTACGTATTACCTCTTCCGTTCTTATTCTGTACTTATTCCACAAAACAGTAATCTAATTTTTTTTATTTTTTGACTGAGATTTTCTTTTAAAATTTACACCACTGTCAGTCTTCTAATTCAGTATGGAGGAAAATACGTTTTTGACAACTGTGAAAGAGGTGCACAAAATTTCTTAATTCAAGCAACAACAACTTTAAAATTTTTACGTGACTTTTAGACAATCCAAATTTACAGTTTATAAATTTATTAAACTTTGCAGAATTACAATCTTTTCATTTCAAACATTTTTGTTTGTCCAACCAATTTTCACGATGACGCTGCAAAAAAAGCCTTTAGCTTATTGTTTTTCTACATGTTTTTAATCTCTCTTTATTAAAAATTGCCTTTGTTAAGTTTCTGCATTCAGAAATAAATTTTTTTGTTAAAAAAAAATAAGGTAGTGAGAAGAAAAATATGAAAAATTTTAAAGTAATATTGGTTTTGTTGAAGTGTGCGTAATTGGCAGTTCAACTAGTTGTTAACTTGTCTGAATGAATTATACATCAGAAGTACTTTTACCTCATCGTTTTTTTCAAAGATCAGAGTAGCTCTTCATCGATGTAGCAGAAATCGTATTATTTTACAAAAAATCATGAGTAATTTCAGAAAAATAGTTTTTTTTTTGACGCACTTAATCAGGTTCTATCAGTACTGAGAGCAAAACTGCAGTAATCAACAAAATTTTTTTCATTTTTTTTTTAGAGAAAAACTTTTGAAACTTATTGAACTGTAGAAAATTGAACAACAAAAAAAAATTCGAGTAGTGTAAAGGAATTTGATATTTCACTAGTAAATCTAACTTTTTTTTCTATTATTTTTGAACCTCGCTGTCTAAAATCAGTTTTTTCTATTAGTTACTCAATATTGAAGTTTAAACCAAACCATAGTCTTGAAATCACAAGTGAAAAAATTTGATTTTAGTTGATGGTTTCTCGTTAGTCGTAGACTCGTTAATGAATTTCAACTAAGCAACTAAAGCTGTTTACTAAAGCTCTTGTTTTAAGTGTAGTTTATGCTTACCAAATTAACTCTTTATTTTTCTGTGAAATAAAGAATAATTTCCTAAAAAAAACTGTTTGTAAGTTTGGTGCTAGCTGTTAGTCAGTTTTAAAAAGAATGCCGAAAATTTCCAAAAAAAAAAAATTTTGATTTTTTGAGTTTAGGGCTTAAAAAATCTTGTTAGTTTTGAATTTTTTTGTTTTTATGTTTTTTATAAATATCTAAAATCTAAACAGGTTTTTCAGTCTTGAGTGACAACAGAAGAAGCGCAGATGTTAAACAGTTTGTTTATTAGAACAAAAAATTTAACCTTGATAGTGTATTGCTATTCTTTGTTGATAACAAAAACCAGAGATGAAATAGTGTAAAAAGCGCAAAAAAAGAAGAGAACAATTTATTTAAGAAATACTGATATTTTTACTGGAAAATGCTAGCAATAAAACAGTGACTAGGAATAGACAAGTGACAAAAATAAAATAAGTTAGTGTAGAAGCAAATAAAGTCTGTATAACCAAATTTTACTACTGAATAAGCGTTTTAAGATACCTCAAAAGAAAAGAATTTA